GCAGGAATGTTTCTTACGAAAATCTTCATCATACTGCACCGTGCCATCCTGTCTCATTGCCGACTGTCTCCAAAATACTCACATACGTAAGATAACCATTACCATTGCGCATTATTATTAATCGAGATTATTAATCAGCTAATTCGGAATAGAAATCCGCATAAACTGCGTAGGAATATTTGTGAATATTTGTTTATAGGGACTTTTGCAGCTCTCGAGAGTCTACTACTTTAATACCGATAGTATTTTCAAATTTAATAAGAGAAACGATCGAATCATTTTTATAATTTTACTAAAAAATCGTAATATTTTTTACATGCCCATCTCTTCTCTCTATATTATTAGAATATCTCTATGACAACTGATATGAGTTTTGTAAAATGTTGAAAGAACTTTTTAGAAAGTCGGATTTCAAATGTTTGGGAATTATGAAAAGCGAATGACTCTGAGTAAATACATATCGGGCACAATGTTTTTCAAATAATTTCAATTACAAAACTTACAATATTTACATTTACATTATACCACCGCGCATACACTATGCAAGACTAAAAAAAACTATTTTACACGCTTCATGATCTAATTCATATACTAATACTTTAAGCAGTTGTCTTTATCAGTTACTCTTAGTATTAGTTAATTAAAAAAGCCGAGGAAAATATTTTTTCAACCTTAAGTGGCAATCGATAAAAGAAAAAATAATAATAATCAAATACGTCAATGTATTAAATTTCCAACGAGGTATAACACAAGCCAATCAATTAATCTCACGTGTTATACATCGTGAGATCCACCTCGTAAAATAATATCTACGAATCTTAAATCGAGTGCCGATGTTCCGCTCTATTCTCATTTCCGTTAATCCCAGATGTTTCAAAGCCAAACGTAGTGGAAACGACCTCGGTGAATCTTAATTTTCATGTATAATGTACACTGACTGGCTGAATTTTCAGACGGCAACAATTACAGCAAGAACGTGTACTGTCGGGGTTGGGTCTGTCCCCCGTACCAGGAATGTATGGCAGGAGTGAAAATGCCTTGTCACCATGATAAATGCCAAATTATTCGGTCCTGCCAAGGATCGCTGACACCACGATCGAATGCATCGCCAGATATCCAAAAAGTGAGATTCTTCTTAATTCCCTTCCAGTCGCGCCCATATTTTCTTCCAACAACTTTGCTTTCGCCATGCATTTCCCATTTTTTGACAAATTAAACATTCCCCCCCCCCCCTATTTTACTAATAAAACCAGTGCGTACAAATATTATTCATATATAATGCAGAAGGTGCGTCAAAAAAGTTTATACATTATTACGATTAATTCGATCGACTTAGGGTAAAATGCTATTTAATATGTCGTTAAAAGTACCATTTTCCATATACTTAGTAAGTTTTGAACATTTTTTCAGGCTTATATGATGGTCATTTATAATTATCTTAAATAATTTCAAATTCATGCATTTGTCGAGGATCATTAACAATCTAGAACGTTTAATTTTCTATGTAAATATACGTAATATTCACGTGGATCAAAGCGTGCATCGTACATTTTTCGATAATAATTTGAAGGCAAATGATAACGAATGTATTATCATTCTACTTTGAAAATAATTTCGTATAATTAATCATTGATAAAGTAACGGCAAATTTTCTTACTTTTTTAAATTAATACTCCGAATAGGAATAATGATATATTTATTTGAGAAATTATTTAAGCAAATTTACATAATGTTATTTTAACTTGTTAGAATATAACAAAGGAGTATTCACAAACGACCCTCGCGGATCTTGAGAGGGACACGATTCTTGAGAGAAACAGCAAACCGCAGAAAAATTTCAAACCAATGATTATATGGAATGACACTAGAAAGGTAAAAAAAAATTAATTAACGCAAATTAATTTTTATACTTTAATATAAAACGTAATAGACTCAACATTAACTTTACATTTTATAGATCAAATCTGATCAGTACTACGATGCAATAACACCGTAAGTAATGAAAAATTAAATATTTAACTGTACTGTAAAATATTGCCATTCGTATCGACTTGCACGTAGAATTAATTCGCCACGACTTTATTCATATATATATATATATATACAATACATATAACAATAGATGCATATATTGTTTATTAATGCTTATTAATATAATATGACTATTAGAACCTTATTACTCTCATTGTCAATAAAATCACGCAAAAATATATATACAAATGAAAACGAATTTTTTGTTTCATTTTCAATCGTTTAACAAGTATGTTATTTGCATTAAACTTAATTTACCGAGTAAAATACTTTTATCATAACATTAGAATTGAATTTGTGAAATTGATATTTCTCATTTACAAAAATATAGCAAAAATTTTAATTGTTTTTTCTTTTCTCTAGAAAGATTTCAAAAACATATGAAAATGTAATAAACCTTTGTATTACCCATGAACATACTAAACGCAATTATTAGTCTTAAATAATATCTTGTATCCACAAAGATAGAATAATATTTTTCAATCTTACTAATTTCAAATTCATTAATTTATTCTTTTAAATTATGTAATGCAATCGCCAATTAACAATAATCCAAAATAATAAACAATATTTTTCAAACAAATTCATCATCTCGTTAATTATACTTTAATAAATGAACGTTTCGTAATCTTGCGGAAGGTCGAAAATTAGTAGAAAATAAAAGAAAAAGAAAAAGAAAAAGATAGAAAAACGAAAATGAAAAATACTCGAGCAAACTTTTCAGCGAATAGTCAAGATTGTGCTGAAGATTTCATCTAAAAATTAATTCAAAACTCGCTCTCAGACCCTTCACTATATTACATTCATTGGTCATATTGAAGCATACAAATTAATTATGCACATAGTACTTGCGTTTTACTCAAGTATAAAAACTTTCGAAATTGCAGCGAGAGGCTTGTCACGTCATCCCCAACTATACGTAGCACATCCACGGAAGATTTGCCTTGGTTGACCTATTTTAAGAACAAAATCGGTTCTCAAACCATTCAATATTGGATTCAAAAGTCAAAGAACAACGAGAATTATGAGGTATATACGATCCTTTGGCAGCTCAACTCACATTTCAACATCTAATAATTAAATTTTAAAATTTTATCTTTTTATACCTAATTGTAAACGGCATATTTGAGTACGAGTAAGTGTAAAACTCATACGAATTCAATATTTTATTGAGAAAATATTCAAACGCGTGGTTTGTGATATTCAACCTCTATTCAAATCCATAATAAATCGATTGTTTTAGTAACTACGAGACTAATATACATTTTAAGAAACGAATTTATTGGAAATTCTAATGGATATGAAATAATGAAGTATTTAATTTTTAACTTTCTTTATCGTGAATTTAACTATACAAAATTATAAATTAGTGTAACAATTGTTTGTTAATCACTTTAATTTTCATTCGAGTGTTTAAAGTAAATTTTCCACAACGTACAATTTACTAATGAATATCATACAGAAAGTACATAAAATATTATCGAAAACTTCTATTTACATTAAATGTTTACACGATATGCAAGTACGAGGATGTATAAATACGGGAAATCTACAACAAAAATTTTAATATTAAGTACACGTGTAAATATGTATGTATATATATATATATATATATATATATATATATATATATATATATATATATATATATAGTAAAGATCAATATACATATGTGTGAAAATTTATTTCTTATACCAAATTATCTATACAAATTTCAATGATACCGTCATTATTAACGATATATATATATATATATATATATAAATTTCTGAATAATTATTGTTTCTTAATTTTTTCACAATATAAACTTTAAGCAATTTTACAAAATATTCTTATACAGAATAAATTTCAATAATGTTATGATTTACATCGATTTCAGGCAGACTCGTCTCGAACAAAATTACAATTTGCATGAATATTGATAATGCAAGCGCGAGAAGAGGGAATATGCAAATATACATGCATCGTAATACAATATAATTTAACATGACGTGTAATAAATTCAATCTTAAAATGCTAAAGAACAAGTGAAAAGCACTGCAAAACCTAATTAATCTAATATGAAAGATAATGAGTGTAATTCTTCGAATTGCAGGGATTCGTGAACTGGCTGGAATCCATCTCGAACGTCTTAGACAAGGAAACTTTTCGACTCTGGTTGTACGAGCTTGAAAATATATCTGCTAATATCCCGCAGTTTCAAGCGTGGATCTTACTATATAGTCTCAACGCTGGTCCTTTCGATTATCTTAATCGAAATCGGCCCTTAAAAAACACTGATGAAACAATGGCGACTAATGAATATAACACTGATGTAAGTAAAAAGCTCAAGCCGCTTTCCCATTTACTTTAATTGTCTGTTATTTTTCTCCGACTTGTTTGCTTCAATATCTCATATAATACGCGTAGATACGAAAATTCGATTAGTTTGAAAATAAGCCAATGTCGTATAATGAAGGGAATGGAGTCGGTCCCTTCACTCCTGTTATTTATTGAACGCTGTCGCAGTGTTCCAAGATGTAACGTTTGATTTAAAACGAACGCCTTTTATCTGTAGTTCAATCGAAGTGGTTTTATCACCATCGCATGCATTTGTGTAGTTGTAAAAATTAATAGTAAATAAAACCAATTAAATTGTCTGTGATAGTCGATCGCCAACAACTTTTCACAACGACCCACTAAGGGTACACTGAATTTACAGTTTGTAAACGAGTCCATAGTGTGGACGATTTATACTTATTATTTAGTTGACAAATTACAATTAATATATATGTAAATTTGTTTGAAAATAAGAAATTTTACATATCATCAAGAGCATTTAATTTTATAAAAAAAATAATTTCAATTCAAATCTTAATCTCCATCTTTTAATGAAAATTTCCATTAAAAATTAATCGATCGATTTAACATATATAGCGCTCAAAGCATTATATAATAAATTTAGTTTTTAAATTTTAAATTACAAATTAATCTGGTTATCTGATTAGAAATTTAAAGGGTTTTGTTAAAATTATAATAAAATACTGATTATACAATATAATTTTTCTTTCAATTATACTTTTATTTATTTTATTTCATTATTATAGCTCAATTATAGAAATATCCATCATTGATCTATCGCTGATCGTATAAATGAAATTTTGCATTAAATTAATATTTCAATCTAATGGTTATCACTTGGCCGTGGCTTCTCGTATCACATTTATCGTCTCTAATCGCACGCTTTTCTACATTTATACCACTGTAACTTTAAATGACAAGTGTTTAATTAGATTACCATAGTAATTTATCGTAAGTAATTTTATCGAGAATCCGGAATGATTAGTGAAACTCAACGGACCGGTTACCGTTATTAATTCCTTCCCCCCCCCCCCCAAAACACCCTTACCACAACGGTTCCGAAATATCGAATTGCTCATCAATAATGAAGCGATCGCGATAACTCAATACCACGTACACGTTCTTCCCTCCTTCCTTCCTTCCTCTTCCTCCTCCTCCTCATCCTCCCCCTTCCCCATCAACCCCTCCTTCACCCTCTTAAATCATTACAAATAAATGCCATTCACAAGCTGTGCACTTGTAAGAATGCCTTCTTATTCATGACTCTGAATGTCAATTCAAATTCGTACCTCGTCCAGGCTCCTGTCGAGAATCAGGGAGTGTCTACCAGAATACATCATGGATCTGAATTTGACAGCACGAGCCCGCAGCACCATTCGCACCCATTGAATTTCCATTTCAATGAGCCGCAGCGAGTCGACGAGATTCCGAAATTCTATACGAAAATGCAGAAAAAGAAAATCATTGCTCCTTCTATATCACAGTCGATGCTACTTCCTCTATTATACGGTATTCGTAATCACAAAATGGCCCACAACTCTAATTTGCCCAACTACAAATACGAGGTGAGTAATCGATATTAATTGCTCCATTGCAAATAACAAAATTCGAGTGCAATAAAAAAAGCTACACGATGACTTTGTGTTTCACTTGTTCTTTTATTTTTTATCTTCCTTTTTTTTATTGTTGTTGTTTTTTTTTTGTTTTGTTTTTTTTTTAAGTGTTACCTGTCGTTCCGTATGCTTTTATAGCCATGAAAAAAAAAGCAATCGTTATGAAATTTTTCGAATAAAATAGTTCGATCATTCCAGAGGCATATCTCGCTCGATAATAAATACAATATTATTGAGTTTTTTTTTTTTTTTTTCTTATATTGCAAGCTAAGATGGTTTTGTAAAGACGGCATTGAAAGTTTTGTGAGCGTTATTAGCAAGTGCCGAACGATCGTAATAAAATGGAAATAGCGTAACAATCTTTTTCATTATTGATTTTAAAATACAGAGACAAATATTAGAAAAACATTAGTTATTGAATGAGCGAATTGATTGTAGAGTATATTCCACTGACTCGTCAATGATTGCCACGAATTGAAAGAAAGTGTAATCACCGATTTCAAATAAGAAAGATTATGTGAATGAAAAGTAAAAGTGAGTTTTCAAAAATATAGGCAAATATTGATTTTTACTGTTTTAAAACACTTAGATAGTGCGTGAAAATAGTATGGACTAAGTTAATACAATAACATGAATACGCATTCGTCTTTATATTTCTAGATGAATGTAATATAATATTTGCTACGCACTTCAGTAAATAATGATTTATTGAGCAATTATAGTTCCATAGACATGATGATTCAATAATTTTGTTAAAATATATTTTATTGTGATAGTAGAATAGATAGTAGAGTATTACTCAACATCTGAATTTAATTGATTTTTGTTAAAAATTTAATCAACACCATATATATATATATATATATATATAAACATTAAATATACAATGATTTATTTATTAGTAATAAAATTTATCTAAAATCTGCAGATATCTAAGTTGCACGTTAAGCCACAAAATCACAACAATATCAATAAGACGTTATTGAAGCCATGGCAAACTTATTATTGGCCTAACTCTACTACAACGAATATCCCGAGATATTCACCGCAATTGCCAATTCCCGTTACGAATTATTATAATAATGCTTATAACAACTACAGTCGAGAATATAAAAATCCCAGGCAAGATGTAGATTTAAACATGGATATGGATCGTCAGCAGCAAATGCAATGGTTGTTAACGAACAATAATAGAAACGTGCAACAATTATCGGACTTGAGCTCTAATCAATGGTCTCCGGAAGATTCAGTAAATAATGTATCATTGAAAAAAATACAAATCATCGACAATGATCTTCACAGGAGAGAATTCAGTCCAGAGAATGAGCGTGAAAATGAGAATGTATCTATGGAAGTGAATTCTTTAATTAATCAAATAAAAGGTGAAGGTACTATTAATCATATATTATTATTCTATTAATTGTAAATTGCTTAGTCAATTATACGTTTTCCTTTTTCTGTTTCTTTTTCTTTTTCTTTTTCTTTTTGTAAATAAAAATAAAAAGATTAAAACAAGTGGTACTCTATGAAGAATATATAATTTGTCGTTCTAATGTTGCATATGACGTTATGTTTAAATATAATATAATTTTGAAACAATTGCCAATGTTTAATTATGCATATTTAATAGGCATAAACATTGTGTATTGTACTAGTTAAATCTAATTCTAACTTTGCAACTGTATACAACTACATACAACTTCTATTGATATTGCAGTTAATTTTCTTCCCATAGTTTTAATTAGTAGATTAATTGTAAATTTCAACTAATTTAAAAATGTTTAAATATAACAATTTTATTCCTTTCTCAAAACTATATAATTAGATCTAATTTATTAATTACATATCTTATAAACTGCATATATTAAATACATATTTATTAATTACATGTTATTAACTACATACTACGGAGGTTGACTATATTACTTACTACTTTTAATAACAATAATTTCTTTTAATTCAGGTCTTTCGAGAAATGATTACGCACATCAAAATATTCTTAAAGCAGATAAAAATGAAAATCCTCACGTATTGCGGTCGCCGATTTACGCAAATAACAATCTACCGAAATTATTGATATACTTTCCCCCGCCGTTTAATTTTTTCCTTTATTATTCTGTTAAAAGCCAAAGTCAAAACACAAGCGATAACTCTTTTCATATATTATCTCCTACTAAAACAAAATATACCCGGATGATAAAACCGTGGCAAAATTATAATCATCAAAAGACAAATGAAAACAATTCGGAAAAAAAAATCGATAATTCCAATAAGTTTAATTTTGAAAAAAATACAGAGCAGTCGATTAAATTAAAAAAGCAGTATAAGCAGAAGGAATTCGCGTACATTCGAAAAATTATTAGAGAATTAGTAGAATATTGGGATGACGAAGAAAAAAATTTAGAAAATTTTACAGAATATGATTATGATAATAAAGAAGAGAATAATTTCGAAGATAAAGAAAATTATATAAATTTCAATAATAAAAATAGAAACAATTCATTAGATAATAAAATGACAAAACCAGTGTTTAATGCTTTCTTAGAATGGCTGTCGAAAAAGAATTACAAAGATTTGCCGAATCTGGTAAGTTAAAATATTATCTCACATATTAAAATAATTAAATAATAAATTAATCATATATTAATACATTTTTATTATATTATCGTTATAATCTAGAATCAAAAGTTACGTAAAAAGCAGCCACTTGATAATGAACGATTAGAAAAGCAGCAGATCGTGGACGAGAATTATAATCACAATCAACTAAGATCAGCTAATTTTACCACCGATACGAATAATTATATGAATAATTCGAATGATTTAGTTACGAAGAAAATTCGCATTCTCGTGGATATTGAAAAGAATCCCGAAATACTTCAATCCTTTTTCAAAAGACACTCAAGCGCTCATAACAATAAATCTGATAACCACGACTATCAAATCATTATTAATTTACAAGACTTTTTCGATTCGAAGGAAGAGGATAGAATATCTCGTAAATTAGTTCATATTGCGTCGAATCAGCTGCACAGGAATTTAACGAGGAATCAAAAATTGCCAAAACTGCTTTGGATATTTCCGATTTACGAAGACGAAGAGAATGATACGCTCATCACTGAACTTGAGAATCACCCGGATCACTTTAGTACGACAGATGAAAATAAATCAACGCCTTATAAATTCGACGAGTCGCAAAATGTTATGAATTATTTACCAAATAAAACCAATAATAAAGTTCCGAAGGTAAGTCCGCGGAATCCTTACTATTCAATTACAGATACAAGTAACATGATCATTCAAATTTACAGAATCAAAAAGATAATTCGAACATGATAAAGCATGATTTACAAATTACCGAACACAAGAAAAATGATCGCCCTAAAGCTAAAGAACGATCCGAATCAAAGAAGGATAATAATAATAACAATAATCATAAGAAGCAAGAAGGCTTCAAGGATCGGCAAAATAAAAGAAATATTAAAAAAACGAAAGCCAAACAGCAATTAGCAACATAAAGGAAGAGTAATAGCGGCAAAAATATCTAGAAATTATTCTTCGATTGTTCAACAATCTCAAAGTATCACAATTTATTCCAAAATTTATTACATTTTGTTAACATTATTAATAATAAGTTAAAGGTTTACTTGCCCTTTTTATTTCTTTATGTTTTTTTTTTTTTTTTTTTTTTATATATATATAAAACAAAAGTTGATACATAAATTAAGAGATACAACATTGGGTTTTAATATTCATTCACAAGTCCTATACGATAATCGGAATGTTACTCCAAATATAATAAAGCAAAGCCTATAAAAAGAGAAATAACGTGTTTTTCATGGTATTTAAAAATTTTTAAAAAGTCAATGAAACGATTTTAACGTCTAGAAGTGTAATAAGTTTAAGAACCCAATTAATTTAAGCTAATTAATCGACCGTAATATCGTTATTATTAATTTACTTTACTTGGTTAATTATTAATTACTTTGAAATATAATTTATCATACTTTCAAATAACAGAAATTTCACTGCTATTTTCATTCGGAGAATGATGCATAGTCAAAATTTTATAATTCTATAGTAATTTGTTAAAAATAGACAAATATCACTAATACTTTGTTAATCACGTTTAAACGGAATATTAATTTGACTTGAGAAACATAAGTCGAATCGTAATGATATATTCCGTTTAAAACATTATTTTTAATTTTACGAACGGAAAATTGGACTTTTTAAAAAAGAAACTTATTTTTTTAATTAAATACGACGTTTAAAATTATTATATTTTTTTTTCTCTCTCTTTTTAATACTTCTCGTGAAACGTTATTTAATTGATATTGTTACAAAATAATTTTCTTACGCAGTCTCAAATTTGGATATAATTGAAATTAATAACTACTCAGAAATCATAATGTTGAAAAGCGTAATTGTTCGACAAGGAATAGAAATGAGAATACTAAAATGAGAATGTAGAAATGTAAATGATAACAAAAAATTCAAATTCTTAAAGAAAATTTGAGGATTTAAGATTTTTTTAAATTAAATTTTTTTTTTCTCATTCACCGTATCGTTGTTATGAGAACTATAAAATCTAAGAACATTTATGTAAGAGAAAATTCTATTAAAATCACGTAATAGGATATTTCTTATTTTATGTAATTAAAACTTTTGTTTTCATAAATCTGCAATTTTATTATAACCTTTGGAAGATAATCTATAAAAAGATAATGTTAATGTATTTACAAGATATTTCATAGGTTAATAATAAACTTTTTAAAAATAAATATCCTATTCTGAATTTATTTTACAAACTATACAAGGCACATGATTAAACAAATTAAAATTAATGTAAATTATTTGAAAGATTATTATTCTTGAAACTGCGTTGTATTCTATACGTTGTAATGTATATTGAATATATTAAATAAATATGATACCTAAAAACGTCAAATTTATTTTCGAAAATTCTAACTAAATTATTAAGAGCAAAATTTCGAATATTTCACGTTAATGAAGAAATTTTAATTTAAAATGTCCATTATCATATATATTAATCTTTTACACATTTCCTAAATTTTAGCATAATAAATTGATGTGGAGTAGTGAAAAATATTATTTAATAATGTATAATGCCAGTCTACGCATAATATTTCATCACCTTCGCTCACAATCAGGAGTATTATATTCAAAAGCCATTGATTGAACATTTTATAGTATATTTTTATAAATAAAATATATTCGTTTACATACCTGCTGATTGAATTAAATAATAATGCAATGCTGCGACGATATTTGAAATTAATTCCGACACTTTCAAGTGCAAATACAAAGTGAAAATATTCAACCAGTACTGGGGGGGGGGAAACAATAAAATAATCTCACTATCGTAATCAATTTATTAAGTATATAAATTGCAAGCAACATTAGCGACTTCATACGAATAAAAATGCTTTTAATCGTCATTAGCATAGCACTCGGTTACTCGCGCTTATTACCGGTTCTTCGTTTCACAATTATAATCGTGCCGTTTTAATGAAACGCTCAGATGCCAGTCAAGTGAAGAATTTCAAGCGACGCAAATATTATCCACACAAAGCGGGGCTCGGCAATGCTCAGGGTCCTGGAAATCACGCGAGGACGATTAATTGGGTCCGCCAATTTGAGGGCGATTCCCGCGGTCAATTGGAGTATTTAATTTCCGCGCTCGATTCCCAACGGCCACGATTCAAATCGTCCCTCGACAATGTACGAAAATGAAGTTTGCATGCATCTCGCCCGGAGAGGACTCGGAGGGGAAGCCGGAGGCCTTTAGTCCCGCCGCGGACAATCCCGAGGCCCCGATGCTTCCTGCACGAAGACCTTACGGGTTCGATCGTCGAGGCTGATTGCTGCTCGCGCGGATCACGAATTCGAGAGCGAACGAGTCGCGTGACGCTATTGCTCGAGCAACATTATGAACTTTGCTCGGATTTCCAATCGTAATGGGAAAACAATACCGATTTACTTTGGCCGTGTATTAACTTTGCCGCCCGCGCCTATATATCGGCCTGTAAAGCCGTGTACTTGTGCTTGGGCGTTATAACATTGAAGATAAATTATTTGTATAAGATTGCGGATTCTATGCCGCTTATCGTTTCTCAATGGCCCGTATTGTAATAACGAAAAACAAATAAATATCTCGTTAAACTGATATATTTGAAGATTCGATTGATACAACATATGTCCGTACGATATTGCTACGAGTTTACGTGCATCGCTGTGCAAAAGAGCTTACATAAAAATTTTATCTTTATCGAATTGTTGTTGAACTAATAGTTTGAGTAATTCATTTTATTGACTACTTCTATCATGACTTATGTTTAATATAAGCCATTCCGATTATTAATCTTTCGTTGTATTTATTACCAGTGCTCGAAATAAATAAAATATAATATTTACATCGTGTTTCAAATTATAAATATAAATATATATATATATATATATATATATATCTTTAATCTTATACTCTGATTATTTCGTGCACTACTATTAATTTATTGAAATTTTATATTTATTAGACTTTTTGAACGATTAATTACAACCCATTATTAACAACAGTATCTAAGACTTTGTATAATCTTCAAATATCTAATTCTAAGCTTATATATATATATATATATATATATATAAATATAAATTCATAAAATGGCTTACATTCTAATGAAATGCAACTAAATAAGAATAAAAAGCATGGAATTGTTGTTTTAGTAAAAAAAATCATTATATTACATTATTTTAATAATGCTTTCTTTCTGGTATTATTATATTGAATAAGTATTTGAAGTTTTTGTTTTTTCAAGTTTTTCAACAATTTGAAGTTTAAGTCAACGATTGTAATTAAAATTATAAAGAATATAGGTATGAAACTATTCGTGTGGACAATATCCATGATTTTAATATTCTGTAAATATTACATATCAGTCCTGTAAATTACATATTATTAAATATTTATTAAAAAAAAAAATCAATAGTTAAATTTAAGAATATTGATTTTCCTAATCGAAATTAAAAATTTTCCAATAGTGGATTATTATTAGAATATTTCGAATTTTTCTAACATAACTCTTCAAGTAGAAAATATTTTAATCATAAATTATTAATATTTTTTTATAATTATTTTATATTTCTTGACGGATATATATTATTATATTAATAAATATGTAAATTTTCAATATGAATATAAATACTTTCGGTAGAATTTATTTCAATTTTCGCGATGCCCAATATTATAATGGTATATTTGAGTAGAATTTAAAAATGTATTAATATTACTTAGTTTGCAAATAAATTATATATATATATATATGTATTCAATGCACCGTCAAATAAAAAAAAATTATAATAAAAATATACTTTCTATACATCCAGGTGTCTCACACAAATTTTTGTACCCAAATTCATTTATATTAAAAATTTATAAATATTTTCATATATGAAAAGTTTTTTCAAATTGTATGTAGAAAATCTTAAAAATGGATAGACTACAATAAATACAATTGAATAATCGATGCTGTAATACAGTATAAAGAGCATAAAACGAAAACAACAATTTATAAGATCATCACACACCGTTGATTAAAATCTGCAGAAGTAACGACATTCATAATCGAGCTAAAGATCAAATTAATTTCTATTAATTTTGAATATTTGCAATTTATCGAGGATAGAATTTTCATCATAAAGACGGAAAATACCATTATAATGATACGTTGAGAACATATAATTATGAATAATCGAAGTGTGTAACCCGCATACTTTATTTGTATATTTTTGCTGATATATTACATAAAACAAAAAATAGGCCAAAAGGTTAAAAGCCGCATCGTACAAAGTCGATACGGTTGGCTGTGTACAAGGTTGATATAAAAGCACATAGAACCTGGTTATTCTTTTTATGCGCATAATAAGCAAAATCCTATTGTTATCCATCTCAAATCTCCCTATTACTAACTTTGACATTTTCTGTCTGCATGCAAAGCTTAAAGGATTATGAAGTAAAAAACATCGAATTACAGTAAATATTTTCTAGAAAATTGGTAACTGTGTTGCATTTAAAACCCCAAGCTAATTAAGAATTGTTATTTAATGATACGATGCCTATGTCTTTATTAAAAATAAAATTGAGAAATACCCTGATTACATGATACCGTTGAAAAGGACGCGTTGAAAATATATTTTCTCGTTACGAATGGAATTTTCGGTAAAATTCGAAACTTAAAATAATATCGAACTGTAGATATAATAAACTGAATTTATTATTATTTAATATCACCATTACGTATTAGAAGAATATTAAAAATACTGAATATTATTTTCCTATTAGTTGTAAATAAAAATTTTTTAATCGATATTAAAAGCCGAACAAGAAAATTCATGTTTTTGATATGGTAAATAAGCGTGAAACATATTAGAAAAATCATCTCCACAGTAATCCTTATATTGTGTACATTATTTTTCGAAAGACTTTTTTTCATGAAAAATTTATTTAAAATTTTAAAATCTACTTCTATCTGGAACGAAGGATTTTCTTCATTTTTATCTC